AAACTCTTATAAAACCTTTATTATTATTAATTAATACTTTATAAGAGTCTATTAAGTTATATCTTATTTTCTTATTTAAATATATTAATTCTTATATTATTTATATTAAGTATATTATTATTTAATATAAGAATATTTAGCTTACTTATTACTTTAACGTTTTAAGATAAATGTAATTAATTTAAGAGTATATTTAAGTATATTTATTAAGTTTTACCTTATCTTTTTATTTTAAGATATTAATCTTTATATTATTTACGTTAAGCGTATTATTATTTAATTTAAGAATACTTAAATTACTTATTACCTTTAAGGTAAACGTAATTACTTTAAGAGTATATTTATTAAGTTATATAATAATTAATTATAATAATTATTTTATTATATTTCTCTTTATTATAATAACTCTCTTTTAATTAACTAAATATTTCTCTTAACTTATATATATAATATAATAAATATTAAATACTTTATATATTATCTCTTTTATATATAAGTATTTTAAGCTAATATTAAATTAATTAAGTAAGGTTTTCTTAACGTAAAACTTATTAAAGCTAAACTTAAACTTAATAATTAAGCTTTAATTTAATCTTTTAAGCGTATAATAATAATTAATATATTAAGCGTATTAAAAGAAGTATTATTCTTATTTTATACTTTAAGATTTATACTTTAATTAATTTCTTAATACTTAACTTTAATTATTAAGTTAAAGGGCTTTAAGGTATCTTTAAAGGGTAATAATACCTTATTATATATAATTAATAAAGAAGAGAAGCTATATAATATTTAACTTAAAATATTAAAGCTTTTTATTTATTATATATATAGCTTATTCTCTTTAAGTTAATTTACGCGTTAAGTAAGTAATTTCTTATTTATATTATAATTAGCTTAATTTAAGTAATAAATATAAAATAAATACTTATATTAATATTATACTTATTTAATAAAAGATAGCTTATATTATTAGGCTTATTTAATATATTTAAGTATTTAAGCGCCTTTTATAGCTTATATAAGCGTTATTATTATATTATTACTAGAATATTAGTGTTTAAAAAGTAATCTTTTAATAGTAGTAGCTATTAGCTACTCTTATAACTATAAATTAATATTTATAGGTATTTTACGAATATAATGAATTATATTTAAATATAATACACGAAAATACAATATAATATAAAATACAATATATAATACACTTATATTTACTATATTTGTAAGAGCTCTAAACTTATATGCGTAATATAATAAATACTAAATACTTTATATATTATCTCTTTTATACGTGAGTATTTTAAGCTAATATTAAATTAGTTAAGTAAAGTTTTCTTAACGTGAAACTTATTAAGACTAAACTTAAACTTAATAATTAAGCTT